ACGGTGGTCGGCGAATTTTCTGAGTGGTCGACACCCCAAGAATGCACCGCTTCCAAACGAACCGCCCCTACGACACGTGAGACGACAACTGCACAACTGGAAGTCAGACAACGAGTCATACGTATATCATCTGTTCGGCACAGCAAGATACAGAGCGGTCTAGACTGCGCCCTTCGACGGTGCCCGTTTCCTCGGCGCCAGGCTTGCAGAGTCAGAGGATGAAGATGATGAATCAATCATGACAAAACCTGGGATCAGATCACATGTCGTAAATTAAAGTAAAAGCTCATTAATATTTTTTAAGGAAGTATTTTGAATATTCCAATAGAATTATTACAAAAAAGCTTTTTTTTCCGAATATAGGTGTCCCGAAAAATGTAAAGAAGCGACCCTTAGGTTGGCCAAAAAGGATGTTTTTTTCGAAATTGCATTATACAAATATTTTAGACTCAGGGGTGTACGGCGAACTTATTTTGTTTGCTTGTACGGTGATATGGTATAACGTTTGTATGTAACACATATATATGGCGATAGCGAAACACGTCCAAGGAATATTAAAAGTCGAAGTGGCTTATCAGTAACAAAATTGTTATGCATATTTATATGTGAAAAATAAAAACAAATGGCGTACAATGAAATCAAATAAAATGTGAATCAATAAGCGCAAAAAGACTATAAGTAAGTGTACCTATAGCGATTTAAGTATATTATATTTAACGACAACAGCTTGTCAGGGCGAAACTTTCATGCGCTTCAGCGCTGACAAACGTGATCGCGCGGCATTCATCATTGCCTTTGTCAGCGATATGTACATCCATATGCATGTTAACATATTTTAAAAAGTAAAACATCTATAAATTTTGCAATCAAAAAATATTTATACACACACGTGCGCGAAGGCGTAAAACAAAAACAAAGCGATGATCTGCTGTTAACTGAAAAGAAAAAAATTAAAAACAAAAAACATGCAACTGGAAAGCATCAAAGTAAAGTGCAATGCAAGTATTTTTTTTTTTTTTAAAGTCAGCTTGTAAATAATTCTCGTTTTGATTGCGCATGTAAACTCTGTACTATGTATTTCGTGATTGTTGATTGTCATGTATAGTCAGGCGATCATTTTCGATCACTTATCCTACGCTATCGCCGCGTTGCGCCTCTGTGCGCCCACAAGCGCATAAGCTGCGCGCTTACTCAAACGAGTACTTTTTGTAAAGCCTGGGTATAGCGTTATGAAAGTTCGGCATGCGCGGCACGTTTTCGCTGCCGTCCGCGATCTACAACGCCCACCTTTGCCGTCGCGACGCCACCGCCACCCCACGCTCGTCGCGCGTTCTAAATCGATTGCAACCTTTCAGAATCTTTCCGAAAATTGTGCTTCACACAAAAGAAGTGGCAATTTAGTTACGCTACAAATATTTTTTTGCCTTAATCAAATCTTCTAATAAGCGTAAGCGGAGCAGCCGTCAGTGAATGTAGGAGCGTGGTCGCTTTCGGCGGCACACAGGTTGTTATTTGGTACGCGCAGGCATCATGTTTCGACATGTCCACTGCTAGCGCAACTTTATTCCGTTCATTTGAAGCGCTATTCTTTCTCCCCTAAAAGCCGTCGACTACTCTCACCCCTCGCGGCAGTCAGAATTATCATGACGATCGTCGTCCCCAAGCTGATCACACATCGATTGGCATACATATATTTCCCCTAGTGAGTTCGACACTTGTTCAAGTGAAGTTTTCAAAAAAAAAAGTACAACAATTGTTAAGTGTGAATATTTACTGCGCTTTCACCCTTATACCGCTCATCCAAACTGTTGCAGCGCGCGGCGTTTAACGTTCAACCACAAAGCAGCGCTCCGCCGTCATTTTCTGCACTTAAGTTGAAAACATTTATTTTGATTGACATCTTGCTGCTATTGGTGGCGATCTCCAGCAGCAGCTGTCTCCGCGCCCCATGCGGCGACACATAACTCATTTATTGCTAGGGCATGGCGCCGCCCTCGCCGTTGCGCGCTCGCTTCCCTCAGCAGCTGACTGAGTGATTGGCTTGCATCGCACATTGGGCGCACGTTCGTAAGTGCAATTATTTAATATTTTTATTATCTTTTCTTTTAAGTATTTATTTTCACATCAACAATCAAATGGCTAAGTGTTTTTTGAGCTTTTAGTGTAAAAATAATAATAAACAACAAAAATAGCAGCAAAAGCGAACACTTGTTATGAAAGCGCAACCTTTGTTGTATAAGTACGAGTATCTAAGTGCCCCACCATTAGCATCGTAGCGCTGCTGGCTTAATTAGTGGCATGTGCATGCTGCCCGTTTGCTTTGCTTGTGCGCTCCACTCGCCGTCGTTACTGATCTGTGTTTCGCCTAATTTGTCGCGCATGCGCGCCCGGTACGCGTAAGTTCTTACCTACGGGCGCGCACACATGCCTTTGCACCTTTATGTTTATTGATGTCATTAAAAAGTAGTTACGCTGAGTGTTTAACAATATCTTTTTTTTTTATATTTGTATTGATACTTGTGGTGTTTATGCAAATTTCTCAAAGCAACAATAATATACTGTTGAGCTAATGTGTGAATCTATGTTTATACATTAGAGTGTCTCACCATAAAAGTTGCGGTTTCCACAGGAATTATACAATTTGTTTTATGTAAATATGTATTTCGGAAAAAATATTAAAATTTACTTGACCTGGGCCTATTTGAAAAGACCACCAAAAAATCGAGTTTTTTATAAATAAAATTATGTGGTTTTAAAATTTATATTATATTTTTTTTTTTAATTACGTCAGCTGATAGAAAAATTTAAGCTTAAAAGGTCTGCATAAAAATGTTTGAACGTGTTATCAACGGCACCAAAATAAAAAGTTTTTGGTGGTATTTTCAAATCAGTCCAGCTCGTGTAAATCTTTATATTTTTCCGAAATATTTTGACGGAAATCTTAAAATATAAAAAAAACTTATAATTCCAATGCAAGAACAGCACCGATCTTTTTTTTATGGCGAGCGATGCACCCTAATGTCCATAACTACTTCGAACCCTGAGTTTTGTCTTCAAAGTTGTTTGAAATGGGTTTAAATCTCGTCAAAATTGCCCTTCATTGAGAATTAAATGCTTTGCACGTGATTTTTTCAGGATTTTTTTTCAGACTTTTCGTAATTTTTGTGAATTAAAAAAGTCCTGAAAAGCCTGAAAAAAATCTTGAGCAGTCCCTAAAAGATTTGGATTTTTTTTAAATTTTGGTTATTTTTAACTTCGGGACTTTTCTAGAACTTTTATTTTTGGGTACCTTTCATAATTTTTTCGGGGTTTTTCGAGATTTTTTCGAACTTTTTCGGGACAATGTCCCATCCAAAAGTACATTTATATAGGTAGGTACTAAAGTTCGGAATATTTTCTAAATTCTTATATGACTTTTTGGGACTATTTTAAAAAAGTCCTGAAAAGCCTGAAAAAAATCGTGAGCAGTCCCTAAAAAATTTGAATTTTTCTAAAATTTTGGTTTTCTTTTTAACTTCGGGACTTTTCTTGAACTTCTGTACTTGATCTTTCTCGCAACTTTTACTGACTTTTTTTTATTTCAGTTTTGGGTACCTTTCATAATTTTTTCGGGGTTTTTCGAGATTTTTTCGAACTTTTCCGGGACAAAGTCCCATCCAAAAGTACATTTATATAGGTAGGTACTAAAGTTCGGAATATTTTCTAAATTCTTATAGGACTTTTTGGGACATTTTACCGTACTTTCTATAGGGATATTTGCCTTAGGTCGATCTGATGCGAAAGCTAAGTATTTTTTATTTCACCTTAGAGACAAAGACTTCTGACTGAAATACAACAACCGAGAGTCACAGCCATAGAAGATTCGTCTTAAAGATCAGCCGCAAAGTAAGGTTATTTCAGAACCAATCATGTTTATAGATTCCCCAATGTGATCAGTCGCGTTGGTTGTGTTAGAAAGGACGCAACGGTTCGCCCGCTTTAGAATAATCTGCTAAGCTTTTGAGATAATTGGAGATTCCGTTAATGTCGGACGGTTTAGAAGTTTTAAGCACTCACTTTGATAGCCTGACCGCGTTTTTGGGATACAGGCTTTCTATGTAGAATGAGATGTATAATTGTAATTATGCAGAGACTGCTATCTGCCATAGTAAATCTGCAATAGGTGTCTGGTTCGTCGCAACATAGAAAAGTAATAATTTTTTTCAAGCGTCTGTGAGATCACCATTGTGTCCATTTCGCAGTGAGGGAGCGGCATCTACGGAAAAAGACCATCGATATACAAAGTAAGCAGGATGGGTTTGGAATAAAATTTAGAAGCCAGTTGTGTCTCGATGAGTAAGTTAATGTGCTGGGAGAACTTACGGATGCCCGCCAAAATTCCACAAGATGATTGTCTTATCCCAACCTCAGCTACTTCAATTTTCGCTTCCACTGCTCTACCGGACTAAATATAAATGGACTTGCCGTTGCAGCTAAACATTGGCCCACATTTGACTATTGTCATAAGTAAAGCAAACAAAAATTAAAAGCGAGCGACCAATTGAACTCGCACTCAACGGCTGCTGATTGCTAGTCACTCGCTCTTTGATGTCGTCGTTACACACGAACCGCTAAAAAATGGACACATACACGAGTGTTCAAACCCATTGACATTTGTGGACATTATGAGCTTAATAAAGCCGCCAGCCGCTGAAACGTCATCGATACTTACTACACTAAGTAAAGCTTAATTGACGCGTTTCGTATCTGTGCCAGCCAGCCAGCCAGACAACCAACCAGTCAGGTACATAGCTAGCCACTCTAATCGCATGCCGCGCGGCAAAGAAAATGCGGCGGTCGGTGAGCATATTGACGCGCGTAGCGGCGTGCTAATCGTTGTAACTGGAATCGAACCGGGCTGATTAGCAACGGCGAATAGCTGCGAACAGCTATGACAAAAGCGGCAAGCGGTAGCTGTACAAAACCGCTTAACAGTTCGCAGCACCTGATACAAAACTTTTGTTTTCAAAACATTTCTTATTCAGTCGGTATTCGCACACTCAGCAGAGCAGTTGTGCAGGTACTACATAGGAGCACTTAGTTTTAGCGTGTGGAAAAGTCAACGGACATCAGTAGCGAGTACGCGGCGTAAGCTGAAATCGACGACTCTACGCCAATAGTCGATGAGCTATTATCGACGGTGAATCGGTCAACGTGTATTTTTTAAATTTTTATTTTAGCCATTGTTTTCGTCATTACGTTCGCTACGCTGCAGCTAATCAGCCGCATATTCGCGCACCACGCCACATAGCCGCCTCGCCACACGCTGGTCAACTCTGCGCCGCTTCGTGGACGTTTGAGGTTTTGTTTGGTTTTTATTTGGCCGCAGTCGTCGTCGTTGTCGTGCACTGGTCGAGTTCAGTTCAGCTTTTCCGCAACACATTCGCGCCTTTTACGTGCTTTTTACGCGCAGTTTAGCGACTCAATTGTCGTCAGTCGCATTGTTGGGCGGCCGCGTATTGTGGTGCTAAATATTCGTTTCAATTCAAGCGACATTTAACTTTATTGGTGCGTTGGTTTCTAACGATTTTTTAAGAGTATTTCAGTTTATTTTGGAATTGGACAAATGTGTGTTTTTTTTTTGTTTGATTGTGAAACCGCAACAGAAAAGTGCTCGTCTTTTGAGGGAGTCCATAATCGCCACGTTAATGCTATAGCAAAAGTTGTTAAGGCCAGACGCACGTACGTAACTGAAAATCCAAGCATTCCAAATTTGCGTGACTAAGCAAGATCTTATCAAATAATTGCGAAAATAAAAAAAATAAAACATATGACTTAAGTGTTGTTGGTAAAAAAAAGACTACGAGGGATTTTGAAGTGATCGCCGATCGTCGAATTGATAACCTGCACTTTATGCGAAGTCATTTAGAGCAAATTAGTGCTGCTTAATTTGGAACTGTTTACCTTTCCAGCTGATTCTTACCAATGTTCGACCGTTAAATGCGAAATTCATTAAATTTACAAATTTATAGCTGGTGCGATTATTGTCGTACAAGTCGTTATTTAGTAGCTGGTTGGGAGTTTTGTCTCTTTTTTTTCTTCTCTGTCTGTCGCACTTAATCGTTTTGTAATTAACGCAATGTACGTACAACTTTATTTATTTTTTGTTGTTTTGTATTTGCAAGTTTTTGAGTTTAGTGTTGCAATAAAATTAACAGCAAGCAGCTTCAGATTGGATATGTTTTCAAAGCAGCAACGAAAAACCCAGATCCACTTGCGTTGCGTGTTTGTATTTTAAATGCCCCATAAAGCACCCGGCTCGAATAGAAATACAAATTGCAAAATTCAAAAATACATACATATATGTATGTACATACATGTGTAGTAGAAAATTTCGGGGACGTTTTTGAAAGAACTTCCCCTAAAACTGTTTAGCCACTTCTGGATTTCGTGTTTTAATTTTTTGATATTTTCTCAAAGAATTTAAAAAAGTTTAGACGATTTTGAAAATATTTGAGTTTTACGTGCTTGACAATTTCTTCATTTCTAATTTATTTTTTTTTAACTTGAACTTTAGAGAAAATTGTGAGAATTTTTTTAACAAATTTTAGATAGATATGTATCTTAAAATCGTTTTTATTTTTTACGGTTTAAAAAAAATTTCAAAGTTTTGTAAAAAGTTGGAAGTTTTTTAACTAAATTTCTTATTCAAATTTAATTAAATAAAAAATTACATTTACCACTTTGCAGTTCTTTGAATTAAAATTTTTGAAAGAGAAGTAAAAAGAATTTGAAATATTTCCCTAAAATTTTGTTTAAACTTTTTAAAATTTTTCGTGCATGTATGTACATAGTTAAAAGGTTTTCAAACAATTTTTGTAACTTGAAAAAAATATTGTAAATTTGGAAAATATGTAACTTCGCTAAAATTTGTAACTGAAGAAATTATGTAATATGTGATATATAAATCGTATTTTAACCGTTAAAATTTGATTTATATTTTTCCGAACAAATTTAACCGCTATTTTGTGATTAAAATTTGTATGACCAAAAATACAAGTTTTTCGATTCAAAATAATCGTTATTTTTTAGATTATATTATAACAGATTTAATTTTTTAGATCATAAAAGATTTAAGAATGATCAAAAAAGTAAAAAGTCTAAAATTACGGGTATTTTTTATCAAAAAAAAAATAATAAAAATTACGATTTTGCAAAGGTCTAAAAATTAAAAACCTTGATATTTAATGGTTATTTTCGGTCCGTGAATTTTTTAGTTTTAATTTTTTCTTAAGTTTGAAATTTTTAAGAAGTGATATTCAAATTTTGTTAAAAAAAAATTTTTTAGGTTGTACAAAATTTTGAAGAGAATTTGGGTTTTTTTCAAAAACGTTTTAATTTTTGTTAGTATGTTTTATATTTGAGTTTGGTTAAAAATTAAAAAAAAAAATAATTGAAATTTTTAGAACCGATTTTTTGATTCAATTTTACTGTTGAAATTAATGAATAATTTAGAAATCTTGCGCTCTAGAATTAGACATTTCCGTGTTTTTGGGCTTAACTGCTCGAACTTAAAAATTTTCGCATAAAAATGTTGTAGTTACATTTTAATGCTTTCATGCTACTCAAAATAAAAAAATCGGAAATAAAGGTTTTGAAATTAAAACAAGTTAATAAAAAATTAAATAATGAAAATATGTAAATTTGTTTTTTTTTTTTTACAGAACTACGAAATTCTCGAAATGTTAAATCGGGTTCTCCAATTCTTGGATATTTTTTCTAATTGTTTCGAAATTATCATTAAATTCTGATTTCTGATTTAATTTTTTATTCTCTTCTGACATTTTTTGTTCCAAATAAAGATTATTATTTTTTGCTTCTATATGTTTGGCGAGAATTTAAAGTTAAAGCCTTAAATGTTTTACTTATGACCGGATTCACAGTACTTAGTTAAACCAGTGTTAACTTAACCACGAACAGGAGGCCAACTATGTATTTATATTCAGAATCATAATTATCAAAATCGTTAGTTAAACTCTTGTCAGTGGTTAACTGCGCACTGTAAATTTGGTTCTTAGATACTCTCAGTTTCAAATCTTTTAAAAAACATTTTGGAGGACTCCCTTAAATTCGAAAAACCGGTTAACTCAACAGTCGAAAATATTTTTGCTATAAAAATTAATTTATTTTAATTTGAATTTTTTATACTTCAAAATCCTTTCTTAAAATTTTTGAAATACGAGCATTTTTAATTTTTATAAAAATGTCGGTATCTAAATTTTAGTATCAAACAACATACACGCACATAAATCTATGAACATATTAATTCCCTACTAATGACGTCCACTAGCAGCAGCTGGCGGTGTTTCGAGTAGCAGTTATTAATTATGTCATATGTATAGCCATTTTCTATCGATCTTCCAATCTAGAACAGCTGTGTTGGCTCTCCAGACTGTGACACACACACATATTTTATTCGTTTCTTTGGCCACTCGAGTGTAAATTTTGGCCAACATGCATTTGGTATGTAACTATGTAAACCTTCTCCTATCAACTGATAACTTGGCTTTCGTTTGTGTTTCGCTACCAGCGCCTTCCAATAATTCAAGCCTCAGTGCTGTTGGCACTAAAGCAAATTTCGTCGATAGTATTGTTTGTTCACGTAAGTTCGCTCATCTTGGCAGTTTTTTTTTTTAATTATTTGAAAGCGGCAGCGATCGAAGCGAGCGTTTTGCGTGTTAACCTACTCCCAATTAATTGGGCTTGCGCTTCGCTGATTTTTTGGATGTTTTAGTTTAGCAATTTTCTTTTGCACATTTTTTTTTGTGTGCTAGCAAACAGCCACTTAATTGTTGTCCAACTTTTTTTAAGCGATTTTTTGCATTTTTCATCAAAAGTTTCTCTCAGTCAGTATTTGCCTACACTCTTGACTTACGATAACCTTGTTCGCATTTAAATTTCATTTTTCACCCATTATAACAGCAGTTATTCAAGTCTTCCGCTTTTTGTGTGAACTTGTTTGCCTTTGACACTTCACTGATGATCGCAATCACTTCGTGTGCTTGCTTTGTTTTTAAACATACATATGGTATGTATTTATGTACATAGTTTTATTATGCTTAGTTAGTCAAATTCAGTTGGATTACCTTTGTTACATAATTCGTTTTAATTGCGATAAAACGATCGTTAATTCAGTTGGCCTTTGTCGCTGAGCTAGTTAGCCAGTTTATGGTTAATTAACTTTTATATAACAACATTAATTGGCTGGCATTCGCATGCCAAGGGTAAGAGACTTTTTTGGTGTTCACCGTCTTCATAAAATATTTTCTTTTGTCCCCGAAAAGTAGGCCCCCTAGAAATCTAAAGCGTTAAACAGGCGCTCTCAGGTATTTTTAATTTCTCAAGCAAAACATGTTAAAGGAACCTCCAAATTTGCCAGCCAAATGATCCATAGTTTAACGCCTCGTTATTGTTTTCTTCATTAGATAAATATGTGGTCGACTTCAAGAGCTTTAGAAAGCTCCAACAATTTTTTTTTTCACAAGGTGTGCGCCAAATACAAGATGATAACAGTTGGCTAAATTAGTTCACCTGCTGTTCTATGTAACCCTAGCTTCTTCTTCAACTTATAAGTACAGAAGCCTCGGAGGAGCTTACATACTGAGAATCGATTATTTGAAACCAATTTTGGGAAGCCTCGTTTTCCTCAACCCTACCAATCGAGTTGCAGATCTCTAACACTGTGGAACATTCTCACCGCGACTCTCGAAGCGCTACTAAATATATCCTCTCCGCATTTAAATCAAAATAGAGGCTCTACGAAACCATTTTCAGGAAGGACTTCGCTTCTTGACAATGGATTTCGTAGTATAACTACACGCAAAACTCTAGAGCAGGGGTCTATGGTATACAACTTAGAAGGCTCCTTTTCACTTTAAAGCTAAGATTCACGCCATTGCACTATACATGTTTGTGAGAGTGTGCTGAAAGTGGCCCAGTAGAAAACAAAACAACATATTTACATATACATACATACTCAGGAAGCAAGCTGGCTATCCTGCCTTCAAAGCACACTAGGCCACCTAAAAGCTGGTGTGGGATCGGCTTCCGTTCTTAACACACATCTCATCTAGGAACCCATTATATTTATTCTGAAAAATAAAGACGCTGCACAGGATTACCACAGGTTCCGGATGCTTTATCGGTCTGCCGTGGAAGTAGATGTAAAAGGAAACGTAACTAGGCAAATACGGAGGGTAATTCAAAAGCTGAAATCTTTAACCCTTAAATAAAAAGAAACACTACGAGTCTCGGCAAAACAATTGTTACATGTTGTTGTTTTCACCGAACAGTGCAGGTTCTGTCATGAGTAACAGTAAACAGCAGTGCTAATTATGTGCCACGTTGAAGCTTTTACTACATAGGCCTAGACTTTGCTTCCTAGGATCCACGTATCTACAAGCGTAGGATCAAAATATCATTGATCCAATTGAAATCACGTGGTTCCCTACCTTGTTCAAAGAAGACCTGTAACCAAATAGAGGTTTGATACAATAGATCATTCCTGGTTGC